AATCAATGCATGTTCATTCATTCCAATTTTTCGTAAATACTTTAAATTCATTTTTGCGCCTGTTTTGTTCTTCAATAAATGTGAACACCTTAGCTATCATATTGTGAACTCCTTCGCACGTAATAGACGGTTCGAAAGCCTACACCCAGGAAGAAATTTCGAACCCTCGCAGGTATGAAAAGTTTTTTTTTCGTGTTTAAAGCCTTAGAAACCTTCCTGTGACACATTTTAAGGCGTTACACTACTTTGAGATTTTTAACGCGTTCTCCGGAGTTCCCCATGTGAACTGAAGACGTTTGCATGCGTTATTTTTATAAACGTCTATAATGTATGTCAAATTTTAATGCATTGTAACGTCTTTAGAAAACTTTTTGGGCTCTAATGCTTCTCAGACGTTAATAATTTTCATCCTCAAGTAAACAGCTACTGTATGATCACTGCAGAGAAGGAGAAGAAGCCATTTAAAATATGCGAAAACTTTGGAGAATAGTTGAAAAGAAATGAGGTATAGTACTCGATAAAAATATTCTATATCAACACCGGTTCGCATGTGTACATTACCGATAAGGTAACCCTGAGGGGGCGGAGTTAGTGAACTATCCTCAGATATTGTGCTCAACAAATGCTATGCTGAAGCAATGAATAGATTTGTTTGAGTCTGTTTTATCGGAGTCAATTTTTGATGCAGAGCACGAATCTGATGTATATTCGTGCCTCCACTGAGCTTGTAAATGGGTACTCAGACATCTGATCTTCAGTGATCCATCACGAATCTACGAATCTGAAGCATCTAATCTGGCTAGCTGAAGAGTTCATTGAGTTGGCTGTGTGGAATTGTTTTCAGAATCTTCAGGAAGAATACAAACGCACGTTGAATTTCATGATTAATATTAAAAATTGCTTCAAATAAAGCGGATTCAATCAGATTTTGAACACTTAGAAGGTCCTCGTGTCTGTTTGCGAAACACAATTCAATGTCTAGCTTAAATGTTTAGCTAAGTATTTCAAATTTTCAAAATATAAAGAACTGAATATTTAACTAAGTGGGATTTTAAAGTGCTCTCATACTTTTGTATGTTTAGTACCCAACAATCGCAGAAATTATCAACGTCATCAAAAACAGGTGAGTAACTCTAGGAAGTAGAGTTATATCCTATCAATCGTCTTGACTATTTTTTCAGTTATAATGTATAAGGGTCCCATCAAAACATAGTTATCACATTCACTGTTAATAGAACAGTGGCAGTATATACATTATTTTTGTCGCGTAAGAATATTTTTATCAACTTCTAGCTAAAAGAAAGACGGTCAGACGAAAGTATTTATTTTATAGACGCTATTATGAGAGAAAAGTGGAAATGACCATGCTTCTGACAGTAGAAATTAAGGGGCAGCAGACCCTCACAAAAGGTACTATTAAACCTTCTCGGATTGTAGAGAATACTTGACTACATATATCCTGTATTGTTTTCGGAGAGCCCATAAATATCCACAGAGTTATAAATTAATTAAGATAAAATTTTCTGCAAACAATTTAATTGCTGGACCTTCTTTTAAAAACGAAATTCTAGTGTACTTTGATCGAGAATCCCTTTTAGCTAAGGTCATATTGAAGATATTTTAGAAAAAGCTATGCTGGGAAATAGATTAATCATTAATTAATCCTAATTAGCACCGATTACAAACACTTCAGCGATTTACATTTTTATTTGCAAATCAATAGTTCTTTGAAAATAATCACATGATACATCATTCGAATTAGCTTTTCGAGCGCCACAGAACTGTATATTTGCTTTTCAAAAGAATAGAATTTTGACTGACTTATGATTTTTTTAATTTTTGATGAAAATGGCCTAATATGGGTTATCTCACCAGTACAGGTTTTTACTCCGTTCTTGCACTTTCTTCTGAAAATTAACATTGCCATGAGAGTCAGCGTGTTAAATAACCTATGTGTTCATGATTTCAGAAGGTTTTAGAACGAAGAATAGAGCAGTCCCAGGGCTTCGGAAAAATGTTCGAAGCTCCTGAACCAAGCAAAGCGATACCTTTGTTTACATCTTATTTTGCAGAAGACACTTTGGACTATCTATCCATGAGAAAAGTCGATTGCTTGCTACATAAAATTTTTGACCTACAAACTAGCTTTCCACAGAGCCTCTGAAAAACCGATTTTAGAAACTTGTTCAAAAACGTACGTGCCTATGAAAATATAGGTTAAACTGCCCTCTTCCAACTCCCGAAAACCGCAAGTCTCTACCATTTGTCGTCTTTGAGTTATTCAGAAAACAACTAGCGGTTTTATATTTCGGACGAACAGTAGTATTTTTTAAGACCTTGCCACAGATTGTGGCTCAACAAACCACGACGGAGCAGCATTTTTGCTGACAAAACTCTTCCTTAAGCACCAGATCGGGTACTGAGTGTAATGTGTAACGAAAAGAATTTTTAAAAAAATTGAGTGGTGTCTTAATAATTTTAAATTCTTAAATTTGATTTTCTCAAAAATTTTCCGTTACGCTGACAAAGTGTTGCACTTAATACCCCTTAATTGATACCTAAGGACGAGTTCTGTCAACAAAAAAGTTTTTCCAGCGTGCTTCGTTAATCCATAATCTGTGGCAAGCTCCTTTAAGATTTGATTTGATGTCAGAAAAATCAACATTTCAAGGAAAAGCAAAATCCTTGTGAACCAAACTTCATTCAAAATTTGCAATAATTTTAGCATATAGGCCCTTCGATCTCGTTGATTGATCCGAGCCAGTCTTATCGTTAGAATACGCTTGAATGAACAGTGAACTTTTTAGTAAAATCTCTTAAATTTCAGTAAACTTTTAAACGTTAAAAGAAAATGAGAAGAACGTGTCTAAAAGGTTCAAGCTTGTCACCATATATGTAAGTCGACATGGGCAACAATAAGTGATATAAAAAACCAGGAGGGTCCTACCCTCTTAAGTACACGAGTATTTTATCCAGATTATGCTACGGAACGTAGTTTATACCTATACAGAGAATCACATAATATACACTATTTGTTTGAAAAAAAAGCATACATTCACAATTTCTGATGGTTGTTGACACAGTTTTTCTGCGACTTTTCAAGAGAACGTTATTTCTTAGAATTGTTTGTTTTATGCATTATTCAATGGACTTTTGAATATATTGCAGCTCTTTATCATTTTCTAATAGTTTATCCGGCAGTCCTTACAATCAGTCTATAGTAACAGAAAAGAACTCATCAAAATTCAAATGGTGAAGCCGTCAGGCGTGAGTTTTAACTCCAACTTGAATTCAGCCCTGATTGACATACACCTTTCAACCCAATCGCCTATATTATATGGTTGTTTTCCTTTAAATTTATCAGCGTAAACTATGTAATGCAAACTCCCTCCCCCTCATAACAGAAGACCACCTGGTCTTCTATTTTTTTCGGCAAGTTGAATTCTAAAAGGTGGTATTCTATTGCGGTCAAATTTTGTCGCCTACTAGTAGTCCAGCGATAACCCTTCACATAATAAATCACCCCCCTATTACAAGAACATTTTGACGAAATGTTTTTGAAAATTGCCCTGTAGGTAGATATAGGACATTTCCGATTTGTTTTGGTGAACAGAATAGAAGATTCTGGGAAGGGTATCTGTATCTGTAAGGCAGACTAATGTTGAACAAGCACTTAAGCCCACTCTCATGAAGAAATTGCAAAACTTTTGATGCCGCACTAAGTCGCGTTCATAAAGAAATCCCTTTCATGTGAGTGGTTGGAGTATAAGTGAAGACACCCAGTTTCTTGCCATTGATTTCAAATACAGTTAGCACTAATGTTTTATTACCTTAAATTTCTTGCGTCATTTCTAAGCAGGGGAAAGAGATGAGAGTTTTATTTATCTACTTTTAAGTGGTAGAAAAACAAATTTAAAATGGGTGGAGCATTAGTGTATCTAATGTCGTGGTTTTAGCACCATTGGCTACCTCTACTATTATGGTTACTTCGAAAGCATCTTCAATAACATCAACAATCATAAGTAAGTTACGGTCTTTGTTTTCGAATAATCAGTGAATGGTTTGCGCTACATCATGAGACTTAAACAGAATCAGCAATGCTGTCAAGCAGCGGCTTTATCATCTAATACTTGGATTTATCTATAAATAAAAAAGTAGCTATCCGTACAGGCACAAATTACCACGATGGATTCGTATTAGCTGTTACTACTTTAACTTTCACTTCCCAGTTATTCGATTATAGCATTTTATTGAAATTCTAAATGTTTTCTTTATAAAATGACACCATTTCAGCATCATCACATGTTTATTCGAAGCGCTGGTCTAAATTCACAGCCCAAAAAGTGTTTGGTACTCTTCTTGACACCGACACTGAGGAGCTTCTATCAAGTAAATTCTAGCTGCGAATGAAAGATTCAATAAACCATTAAAATTTCTGTTTCACGGAAAAAACATTATTCTACAATTTGATGGTTCAACCAGACACAAGGGATCGAGAGCATATGAAGTACTGAGAATCTCCTGGTCCATATCACAACGTTAAAGACGACTAGTCTGTTTTCTTCTGGATGAAGCTTTCCTTTATTATAGGTGGCAGTATGATGATCAGGCAGTGATTCAATATGCCTTTCTTTTCTCTTAGACAACTGTAAGCTCTTATCAAACGAACTCGCTTTTCTCGTTAAGTTGAACTTGTTATTCCGTCGTTCAAAAACTTGCCCAATTTTGCATGATTCATGCTGTTGTTAGTCCCACAATTCTTAAAAGTTAGAATCGAAAGAGCTTGTCATTTTAGCTGACAAGCTCTTTCATCAATAATAGCTGCTTATCGAGAATTCAAACCAATCACCATTTCTACTATTCTTCTCATCTTTGCACACGCTTCGTACTCGCAAGTTGATAACAGTAAGATTGCTATCTACTTTGTTTAAGCCATCTTATTTTCTTTAGAAAAAACAACCACTTCCACCAATATCATTACTAGTACCCACAGAACAACAATGACAACGAGGACGAAAACGACAATGACAACATCATCCACAACAAGTGAGTCGCTATGGTTTAAATAATTGTAAGACGCTAACAAAAGAATATCGTAGTCATGAAGTTATGCTGAAAATGTTTATTTTAAATGCTTAGCTTAGAAAACACGAAAAAAAATTTAGTAGTTTAACCGTCATATACTAATCCTATCTGATAGGTATCTTTAGGGATGATCGCAAGTTTTACCAACAAGTTTCTCGACTTATGTTTCTCTGTACTATGGCTCCAATCGTACAGAAAGACGTCCTTTCATTGTTTTTGTTTAGCTACATCAACAACGACAACGACGACAACAACGACTATTCCCAATACAGATTGCCTGCGTGGGTTTTCGTCGGTGATACAACTGGATGTATTCAATCTAACATCGAGTCAACCGTATACTTATTATTCTTACACATATCTCGCTGGTATAGATCAAACATCAGCAACATTGATAATCGCATTGCGCAATGTTCCCCAGTGGTGGTATCTTGATGATGTGTCAGTTGTTCAATCCACGAACAATGGTAGAGGAGTAGAATTGTTGAGCGATGGAGGATTTGAAAGTGGCTCGTTGGCGCCGTCGTGGAAAACCTGTACGGACGGGTCGGATGACTTTGTCGGCTTCATAGAACGTGAGAATCCAAGAACGGGCAAATGCAGCTTTTACGATTTCGCAACTCGTCATTTTGACTATATAAGTCAAACATTTGAAACTGTGCCACGAGAACTGTATAATATCAGTATGTGGTTGTCTGCAAGTCGTAGCGGTGATGGTATTTCAGCTGCGATTTTTGTCGGTAATTAGTTTCATTTGTCTCTGCTACTTTTTTTCCCATATAGATCTAAAAATCATTCATTATTTTCTCTCGCTCTAAGCGCACGCATTGTTGTTCTAATGAAAAATTATCGTTGATTTCTTACCGTACTTGTATGCCGACTAAAGGAAAGCAACAAGAGAAGAACTAAACAAAGAAACCGCAACAGCAAGCATTAATCATCTGGTTGCTAATTATTTCGGGCATATAATGCGTTGCAGCCTGTCGGATATTCTTTTTACAGTACTGTTACTTATTCGGAATCCTCTGACGATGTTCATATAATTTTAATTAACTGTATAATTATCTGTACGCCAAAAAGCAAGCTTTTTGACTCGGTTAAGCTCGGATTCTCATGAAAACATAGGTTTTCAGCCATAATAAATCGCGTAGCAATGTTTGTTCTCTTCTTCAAATTGATCCCAGATCGGCAGCAAAGATTAGGAAAAACAGATCATTTTTAGCCTCACCTGCTTCCTAATAACTCCGTTCTCAACCGATTGAGCTCAAATTTTCAGGAGAGACTTGGTAAACGTCTTTCTGCATGAAACAAGTATGAAAAAATCAAACTTACTTTCTAAAAGAACTTGAACTCACCGGAGGATTTCAGAAAACCTATCGACTCTTGAAAGTAGCCAACCTCTTTCCGACACAGGATTTCTACGGAGAAAAATTTCCAAGTCTCTTCTCAAAATTTCAGCTCAATCAGTTTGCTACGAGATTTAGGATGGCTGAAAACCTATGTTTTCATGCAAATCCGCGCTTAGCCGAGTGAAAAAGCGTGCTTTTCGGATGTCTGTCCCTGTGAGATCCAGTACCCCAACGGAAGAACGGAAAAATCTGTGAATTACGTGGCTTTGTAGAGCAGGCCATTGGCTACCAAATGAATTAGTTTGGATAGAAAATCCACTGAAACTTTTCAAAAATTTTTCGAGTCGTCAACTTTGTACAGAAATGTTTGTTCAACGAAATAAGACGTTGCAGTTTCTCACAGTGGTTCGTAATGAGATACAAAGCTTTTTGTTGAAAAAGAGACTGGCTATTAACCGACGGTTAACGGCAGGTTATAACCGATCCTATTTTAGAGAAAAAAACTCACATCTCATCTACGAACCACTGTGAGAAAGCCTGCAACGTCTTATTTCGTAGAGCAAACATTTCTGCACAAAACTGCCGATTCGAAATTCTTTTGGAAAGTTTCTCCGATTTTTAAAACCACTACTCCTGAGAGCCCCAATAAAATAACCGTTGCATGCCTAATCTTGGCCGCATGATGGTGAAAACCCAGTTGCAATAGCTCTTTCCGTTGCCAAGTTATTCATCGTGCAGCCACATGCATTCTAGTTTGAAATAATAAATGCACAATAGCTCAATATTATACTTGTTAGTGCATTTGAAATTCAAAAAGAGCTATAAAGTGTACAAAAACCCGTTGTTTAGGGCACATATAATGACCAGTTAATCCCGAATTGTATGACTGTGTGCAAAACCACTTGATTGGGAAACTTCTCAAAGAAAATGACGTCGTATGAGTGTTTAAAGAGTTCCAAGGTCGTAACGAAACAAAGATCTGGTTTTCAATACCGTACGGCCATGGCTCTGTAAAAAGAGCTGTGTCCATCCACGAAACCTTCTGCAAAAGGATTTCATGGCGCATGTTTCGTATAGCATCCTACAAAATGACGGTTTCCTACCGCCTAAAAAGGTTTCGAGCATTTTCTGTTTCCTCTACATAAGACATTATGAGATAGTCGTAAAAATCGACTTTTTTTGCGCTAGACGGATTGAACTGAAATTTTGGGTAATGAATAACGACAATTAGTTAAACATTTTTGGAAAGTTTCATCAATAAAGTGTGAACGGTTTCAAAGATAATTATTTTTATAAGTGGCGCAAAGTGAGTC